GGGGGGGGTAGTCGTGGTGGTAATTTTTCTGGGCGTCACAAAAAGCTGACCTTTCTGTAGTAAGCACATGGACTCCGAGTCTGTGGGCAGGTTGCTGAACTTGTGCATCAGCGCCTCGTACGTGCCTCTGGACACCAGGCCTAGGCGAACCGCCCTGAGCAACTGAGGGAGGTAGGCTGACCTCACATCCGGGAAAAAGTCAACCCACTTCACCACGGCTGCGCATGCGTAGTCCTCGTAGTTGATGATCAAGTCGTCCGCTTTGAGTATCTGTAAGGTGTATCATTATTATGTTGTTGGTGGTATGAGATTTGTTGCAGATGTGTACATGTTTTGGTTGGTGTTGTTGTTGTCGTCGTCGTCGTCGTCGTCGTTGTTGTTGTTGTTGTTGTTGTTGTTGTTGTTGTTGTTGTTGCTGTTGTTTTCGTTGTTGTTGTTGTTGTTATCGTATCTGACTCTCTGTCTTGCATCACCTCACTTATAAAATACATATTCTTACACCCAAAAATAGTTAGGTTACAACAAAAAATACACGCTTTAACTAAAACTGGGAAAATCATCGTGTTCGCATGGCTACCTACCCATGTGGGCATCAAAGGAAACGAGTAGGTGGATTTCCTGGCGAAGGAATCCTTGTCGCTTGTTGAGATCAACGACGAACACTCTCCCACAGACTGACTTTAAAAAAAAGTAAAAAACTACACCTCTAGTCTGTGGGAGACTCATTGGAAGAATCAAACCAACAACACACTACACAACCTTTGAAGCCCACACTGGGTCCAAGAAAACCTTCGGGCTTCTCCAGAAGAGACGAAGTCATTTTTACTCGATTACGCATCTAGAACACGTCCTTGACACAAACACCGCCTTCAGGGAGATGAGAAGCCGTTCTGTGCCGGATGCGACACAGATTTTACCATTAGACACATTTTAACAGAAAGTCCTAATCTAGACTTCGGAGAGACCCGAAGGAAATTGTTCAAATGCAAAAAAATGCAAGATCGGATTTTCGTAGCTGATTCCAACAGAATCCTTGATTTTATAAAGGCCTTTTGGGAAAATTGTAAATGCATATGTTTTGATTTTAAACAGGTTATCATTTTTAGATTGTTATTTAACCTCAAGTTTTAAACATTTTAAAATCTGTTCGTTGACCCGAGCCAAGTCATGCAGTGAACTGTTGTGAATGTTACCAACTTGGGTTTCGCGCACTCATATGACTTTTTACACTTGCGAGCGCCGTAAAACACTCACTAAAACAATGTTGTTGCTGTTGTTGTTGGTGGTGGTGGTGGTGGTGATGGTGCTGTTGTTGTTACTGTTGCTGTTGTCGTCGTTCTTATTGTCATTGTTGTTGTTGTTATTGTTATTGTTGCCATTGTTGCTGTTGTTGCTGTTGCTGTTGTTTGTGGTTTTGTTGGGGGTTATGAAGGAGGAGGAGGAGAGGAGGAGGGGG